TCATTGTCCCATTATTTTTAAGCACAAAGTGGTTAACTGGGGTCCGAAGCTATTTTGATTTAACAATTGTTGGCTGACTCATAAAAGAGTTGTGGATGTGGTGGAGGAAGCATGGAAAAGAAATATTACCCTTCCATAGGTTGCCCAGAGAGCTAGCCAGAGGTTGATGAGTGTTAAGATTGCATTGAAAAAATGGAATATTGAGGTATTTGGAAATGTTGATAAGGTGATCTCTGATTTGACAACTGAGTTGAGTTTGATTGATGATAAAAATTCTGTGATGGAACTTTCCAATGTGGAGAAGGAGCATCAACAGATATTAGTAAAGGATATTTGGAAGGCTAGGAAGAATAGGGAGAGTCTCATAGCCCAAAAAGCTCGGGTAAGATAGGGGAAGGAGGGTGATTTAAATACAAAGTTCTTTCATTTGTGTGTTTATGGGTGGAGGCGATGAAATAATATACATGCGCTTCAAATTAGGGAGAGATGTGTCGAAGAGGTTGATGAGATTAAAGCAGGTATGATGTCCTATTTTGTGGTTCATTTTAGTAGTAGAGGTTGGCTTCGACCTACTATTAATATTAATGATTTACCGAAAATTTCTGTTCTACAGAATGAGGGGCTTGTTAATGCTTTTCTGGAGGAGAAAGTGGGAAGAATGATTTTGGAGTGTGAGGGAGATAAAAGTCTAGGGCCTGATGGTTTTAATTTTGTGTTCCTTAAGAGGTTTTGGAGAGTGATCAAGGAAGAAGTGATGTTGATAAATGCTCTAAAGACTTAATCCTATATTATGATAATTGAGAGTTTTTAAGCTATTCATTGATAGATATTATTATAATTAATCTCATTTTATTTATATTTCAGGAAAAAGGATCAAGGATATGAAAACTTTAAAGATGTCGAGAATTGAAGAAAAAGAATCTAGAGATATACACGGGAAGATACACGCCCGTGTATCTCACTGGAATGCAAAGAACAAGGAAATATCCAGCCAGAGATATACACGGCAAATACACGCCCGTGTATATGAGCGTGTACATCACTAGTGTTGTCAAGGAATGCAACATTTGGGCCAGAGATATACACGGTCAATGTGCATGACCATGTATATAAGCGTGTACTTCGTACAAAGATTGTGAAGGCCAAGTATCACAGAACAGAGATGTACACGGCCAGATACACGGCCGTGTACATGAGCGTGTACTTGTCAGGAGAGATTTGAAGGACACCTATTAGAAGACAGAGAAGTACACGGCCGAAATACATGGCCGTGTACTTGGGCGTGTACTTTTACGCGCATCAGAATTTTAACTTTTGCAAGAGCCCTAGGACGATTCCTATAAAAGAGAAACTTGATATAGAATTAGAGAGACAGTTTTTGGAGACGAAAGACTCAAAGACGGCAGGAGGATAGGATCAAGCGTTTTAATTCATCTCTTTTGTAATTTTAATTTCAAGATGTTTAGGTTCTAACTTTCCTTTGAGTATCTAGACGTAATGAATCCTAATTGACTAAATTTTCTGGAATTCTTCTAATGCTATTTCATGTTCTTTTCTCTTGGGTTTAATTGAGTAGTATCAATTTTCTCTATCTTGTTTTCTTGTTTAAATTTGAGTAAAATTCCTGCATGAAATTAACATTGCTCAATTAAAAAGACTTGAATGTATTTCTAGAGATAGAAAGACGTGAGTTTTCTGTATTAGGATTAACCCTAATTATGGAATTCATAATGAACTTAATGCAATCTAGGGGTATTAATTAAGGAAAAGATTCTGATTAATCAACTGAGGGTTAGGAATCATTATCCTTGAGAAAGGTATTGATTTAATTTGAAATTTCCTGCAGCGATAAGGGTTTGAAACTAAGTAGTTGAAGAAGAATTTCAGTTATTTGGACACTTAGAGAAATTTACAGTCTAGATATTTGCCTTTTTACATTGAATACCTTTAGTCATAATTTTTTTATAATTTATTTTCACTAGAATATTTGTTCCTTTTAATTTGTTATTCTTTTACTTTTATCAATTTCATCAACAAGGTTTATTTCTCATATTTATTAACAATTACGCAATTAAGGAAAAGTTTCTTAATAACAGTCCCTGTGGATACGACACTTGGTACTTTAATTTTAATTTTAATAATATTACTTCGACAATGGGTACACTTGCCCTGTGATCAGTTTTTACACACTAGATGTGTATGCTTACTGAATTTTTTAGAAATGGAAAACTACCTAGGTCTTTGTTATCCTACTTTGTAGCACTTGTGCCAAAAGTGACTTGCCCACAACAGATATCTGATTTTTGGTCTATCTCATTGTTAGGTTGTCTTTATAAGATTGTTTCCAAGCTTTTGGCAAATAAGTTGAAAGGAGTTTTGGATACAATAATTTCAGAAGAACAATCAGCCTTTATCCCGGGAAGGAACATGTTAGATAGTGTGCTTGTGGCTAATGAAGCAGTTGATTATGTGCGGCGGTATAACAAGAGATGTTTTGTGTTAAAGATTGATTATGAGAAGACTTATGATTCGGTGGAGTAGGGATATCTTTTGTTTATGTTACGTAGCTTTGGATTTTCAGAACAATGGGTCAGTTGGATGGAAGCTTGTGTGTGTGGGGGTAGCCTATCAGCTTTGATTAATGGTTGTCCTACATTGGAGGTTCATATTAAGCGGGGCCTAAAATAGGTGGATCCTCTTGCCCCTTTTCTTTTTCTTGTGGCAGCGGAAGGGTTAGGAGTTCTTATGCGGAAGACAGTGAGCTTATGGGTTGTTCTCTGGTGTAAAGATTGGGATAGAGGGACCGGATATTTCTTTGCTACAGTTTGCAGATGACACATTGATTATGAGAGAGGCTTTGGTTCAGAACTTGTGGACTTTAAAAGCAGTATTGCATAGCTTTGAATTAATGTCAGGTATGAAAATTAACTTTCATAAAAGTGTATTGGGGATTAATACTGGTGATGACTTTGAAAACTTGGCTGCGGAGTTCCTCCATTGTAAGATTGGTAGTTTCTCATTAAAGTATCTCGAGTTACAGTTAGGTGTTAATCCGAGAAAACCTAGTGCATGGAAGGGTGTGTTAGATGCCCTTAAAAAGAGGTTAGCGTCATAGAAGCATATGTATTTATCGATTAGAGGCAGGGTAACTTTGATTAATGCAGTTCTTGATTCTATGCCATTGCACTCGTTATTTCTTTTTAAGGTGCCGAAGTCGATGTTAAATGAGATTGTCACTATCCAACGGAATTTTTTATGGAAAGGTGCTAAGGATGGATCTAAAATCCCCTGGGTGGATGATAACAGGGCATTTCTTGGTAAATGGTTGTGGCGAGGTATTAATTGTTCTAGTTCATTGTGGGTGCGAGTGTTGGAATCTAGGTATGGAAGATTAGCTTATTCTATTCAGCATCCATCAGTCCACAACAGATGTTCTTTGTGGTGGCGTGATTTGATGGAGGTTATTCATCAAGGGAATTCTTGGCTGGATGAGAAGTTTGATAAGAGTGCGGGTGCAGGTTTATACACTCTTTTTTGGAGAGATAAGTGGGTAGGCGGGGTGCGATTGTGTGAGACATTTCCGCGATTGTTTGCGGTGGCGAGGAATGCTGAATCATGTGTATTGGAGAATGGTTTTCATGATGGCACTAGGTGGGTTTGGGATGTTAGTTGGCGAAGAGGACTCTTTTAACATGAGATCTCAAGCTTTAATCTTTTGTTGGAGCTTGTGGATGGAGTTTCTATTAAGCTACTACAAGAAGATAAATGGGTATGGAGGGCAGATTCTTCAGGTTGTTATTCAGTACAATCTGCGTATTCATGGCTATTTGAACTTTTTGGTAGTCCTAATAGTGTAAATCAGTGTACGGCAGATGCCTTACAAAAGCTATGGAGAGGAAAGGTCACTCTTAAATGTCTGGTATTTTCTTGGTAATTGTTGTTGAATGAACTTCCTTGTAAGGGTTTGCTGATTGATCGAGGTGTTCAAATTGATGATATAACTTGTTGCTTTTGTCATGGTTTGAAAGAACTTCCTACTCATTTATTTTTAACGTGTTTAGTTTCATTTCAAATCTGATACTTTATTGCGCGTTAGCTTAGATTCTCACTGGTTTTGCCTTCAGATATATCGACTCACTTGCTTTCTTGGGTTGGTGTTGGCTGTAATAAAAGAGAAGGGATATGCTTATTAATTGTTTGGGTAAGTACAATGTGGTCTTTGTGATTACATAGAAATAGAATTGTATTTTCCAATGGTGTTTTGGATGAGAGGGAAGTTCTAGATTATATTATTCTGAGATCCGGGAAATGACTATCACTTGTTAGTAAGGGAGAAACTATTTTATTAGCTGATTGGTATTTGAACCTACGAAATTGCATCCGTCTTAACTTTGTATAAGTATATTTTTGCTTTTTATTTCTCTAAAGTAGTAATTTTTTCTGTGTATATGTGTTTTTAGTTCTCCTTGAACTCTCTTTAATAATATATGTTTTATCTATAAAAAAAATATATATGAAATTATAAGTTTTTGTATCTTTAATTTGTATAATATATTATAATATTTTGAATTTATAATTTTTATCTAAAATACTTGTTTCTTCGTACTACCAATATATGAATTCTCAATTGTTCCCATCACAGCCACGCTGGACAAAAATAAAGTCACTTGCGTTGCTCCACGTTTAGAGTGAAATTCTAATCCACCCAATGACTTATTATAAAGACTTATTAAAATTAATTTTTATAAAAATTAAGTTCAGTCTTTTAAAATGAAATTCAAATTATGTCTGGACCAAAAATAAACTAAATTGGATATATTTTTTTCAATTTAAATTTTTTAATCCAATTTAATTTAAATTATAGATTGTATCTCTATATCGATTTTTTTGCCCTTCCCTTCCCTCAGTATGGGTGGGCGCCGGGCATGTAGTAAACTCACGCGTCGTCATATTCTCCAACTGAAACAGAGCTACGCCAAGTAAAGTCTGCGCGTTCGAGAATGGAGTTTCCTACAAATGGTCAAGATTATGAGGAACAGGAACGTCAGAAAATGTATTTTCTAAATAATGTGGTTTATACGTGGCAAAAGCATAGGAAAAGAATAGAAGAAGAACTACGCATCCATGAAGAGATTAGAACAAAAGATAACGAAGTTTCGAGGCCTAAGATTCAAAGGGTTCCAGATTATATGGGAGGACGGGAAGAGTTTAGAAGATTCTACTTACCTAATCTCATTTCAATTGGTCCAATTCATTGTTTTAAACCTTATGTGGAGCAAGGTTATCGATACAAGAAACTATGGACTGCAATGTATATTAGGGACACCAATCAAACCTTCGATGATTTAATTAAAAGAATTTACTTTTCCCTACGCGATATTCATGAGCGGAACTCTTACGCACCAGGCTCATGGCCAGAGGATCCCCCTCAGGAACACGATTTCACGAGTACATGGTGGTGGCAAGGACTTGTTTTAATGGAGGATGGATGTTCGGTACTTCAAGTGTTGGACAAATCTGTGGATTCTGATAATCCAGAAAAAGAACTCATGATTAGCACTGACAAGCTGGTGCGGGTCCATCAAGATCTGCTCCTCTTGGAGAACCAAATTCCCTTCCAATTGTTCAAGCTCATATGCGACGAGGATAGAGCGAGGCTAAAGAGATGCATGCGCAAGTTCCTTATAATTCATGGTATTGAGGAGGCATTCAGAAGAACTGATGGTGATGGGGAGCACAATATAACAATAGTCCAAGACCATGAACAAGAAGAAGAACCATTTCATCTTTTAGACTATCTGCGGAGGGCACTCCTCAGAAGGGACAAAACGCAAATCCATAAAGAAATCAAATCGAAGACTAAGAAGCGGAAATCGCTGCATCTCAGAAAATACAGGATTGGGACCGTGCGGGAGCTGAGGGCAGCAGGGATTCGAGTAACCAAAAGTCCCAATAGCACCTCTTTCTACCCCATTTTCACTGCCGATGGAAAACTACAACTTCCCGAGATCACTGTGGACGGCTCAACAGCTATTATGTTCTTGAATCTGATAGCGTACGAGATGTGCCCAGACTTTGTCAACGACTTCGAGATCAGCTCATTCTTAGTGATTCTCAGCTCTCTCATTGACCAGCCAGAGGATGTGAAGGAGTTAAGGAGTGCTGGCATACTTCGCAACGAACTTGCCAGTGATAAAGAGGTGGCAGATCTCTTTAATAAGATGGATGTGGTGATGGTGCCCGAGACCGATGCATATGCTCGAATCAGAGACCAAATTGAAGAGCATTTTGTGTCGAGGCGTGGGAAGATCAAAATGTTGGGTTGGATGGGAGAGGCTTACAATAACTACTTCCGATCACCATGGACAGTCATTGCCTTGTTGGCTGCCATTCTTGGTCTTACTCTCACTTTTATTCAGACATGGTTTGCCATCCACCCTAAAGGTAATTAAATATTATTTATTATTTGCTTAAGCTGAAATAATCATCATATTATATATATATATTGACGATTAATTCTATTTGCTTGATAAGTGATTATGTGAACGTATGTTATGTTTAATTCTTAATATCTTATTAATGCGTGATTTGCTGTTTCAACTAATGTGCGTCATTCTCCTATGCTTTCACTCTATATGTTAAAAGTTCTTAGCTATCTGCGCAGTTCTGTTTCCTGAGTTTCGGTTCCTGACCTGGACGTATATCATTGTGTTCTACTTGGTTTCGAGGGTTTAAATCTGTTTCGTCATATAATAAAATTTTGGGCTAACTGCAGCTTGTTTTCTTTCTTGTCAACATTTATCATTATAGTGATTAATTTTTATATCATTGCTAATATTTTTTATTATAGTGACAAAGTTATTAGCATAATAATTTTTTATACAGTGACACAACAAACAATTTATTATTAATAAAGAATAATTATAACAAATATTTTTTTATATAAATCTTTACAAATATTGAATTTAACATATACTTGTGAGAAAATATAAATTTTCACAAAAGTAATTTATATTTATAGATTATTAAAAAGAATAATACTCGTACATTATACGAGTTTTTTATGTTTTATATTTGTAATATTAAATTTATAAAAATATTTTGAAAATTAGAAATTAAAAATTAAATAAGTTAAGAAATAATATTAAATTTACTTTCAGTTAAAAATTTTCACAAATGAGACTTGTGTTTTCAAAGAAGACATGACCAATTGACTGTGTATAAAAAAAGATATTTTTAAGAGAAGCAAACCTCTCTTTTATGATTGATACACTTCGAAAGAAAATAATTTTTAACTGTTAGGTTCGAATACTCTACGCATACTAAAAAAATAAAAATAAAAAAGACATAACATATTACCATAAAAACCCGATATAAAAAACCTAGATGCAGTGTTTAACATTATTTACGGGTTTCTTGTAGTCTAAAGTTGTTCAATTTGATTCCAATCTTCATATATTAGAGTACCAACCCATCCTCAAAGAAGATGCTTCTAAAGGACAGCAAGAATGATTGTCTGTACCATTCTTGAAACATTTATAAAGTGAAAACCTGATTCTGTGATGGGTATATATGCTGTTAAATGTGTCCCACGCAGGTGCTAGTTTGGTGCAGGGGCTGTTAAAGACGTGAGTAGATAATGGGGTTAAAGATAACATACTAATAGAAACTTACATCGTAATACTTACAAAGTAAAGTTAAAGAACATGGTCATAATTGGTCAATTAATTAGATTGATCATATTTGAATGACATATTTGATTAAGCAACAGTTTTCCAATTTCTTCTAAAAGGACACAGAATGTGTTTTGAACGGTGGTATTGGCTCTTGAACACCCTTCTTTGTAACAACTTTATGTTTTACGTATATAGATATCATCTAATTTAGTTTAGATCAGTTTAAGAATATTAAAATTGAATTAATTTAAATTATTAATTTTTTAATTTGAATTAATTTTTAAAATTTTAAATATGCTTTTTTAAGAGACACAATTTAACTAATAAATAAAGAAATAAAGACTCAATTACATAAATTTTTTAGAAACTAATTTTTTATTTTAAAAAAATCTTATTAAATAAAAGCAACTCATGGAAATAAAGAAACTATATAACAGAATGAGTTTAAGGATTATCTGTTTGTAAAAGTGATAGAAAAAGGAAAACTAATTTTTTAAATTGATTGTTAAATCAACTGATTAAAAACTAACTTTTACATTGGTTAGTTTGAGAATTAATTTAATATGCTCCTTCTTCTACCAATACTTTAAACCGATATAAAAATTAATTATAAAAGCACTCAAAATAGTGATTATATATTATAAATTATAATAATTTCATTTTTCTGTTAAAAATACAATATATTTTAAATTAATATTAATATAAGAATTAATAGAAAATTAACATATTAACAATTCAGTTTAATTGGAGTCAATTTTTAAAATAAAAAAATTGAAATATATATATATATATATATATGTATATATAAATAATTAATTGCTTGATTAAAAGTTGAAGTTGTAGTTATAATTTTTTAAATAATTATAAATTTTATGTTTTAATTTATTTAAAATAATTTATCATCCTAAAAATCAAGTTTTTAAACATAATATAGAAAGATATATTATGCTTTTATAAAAGATAAATTACAGAAAAATATCAAGAATAGAAATGAAAAAACAGTATTTTCAACTAGTAGATAAAACATAAAATATATTATTTAAAGCAGCGTTTTATAAAACATAACCAATTACATATTTATTTAATAATTTTATTTTTATTAACATGCCTTACAACTTGTAAAATATTTTTTTTTAATTAGTTGAAAAGTCTTCCCAAATATTCTCTAAGACTTTCACAGATTTTATGTATAAATTGTTATTTAACTATATTTTATAAAGTTTTTGTCTTATAAAACATGTAATGTGATATTTTATATTAATTCAAAATTTAACCTAATATTTTTGTAATTTATTTTGTTTTTAATATAATAAAATACCAGAAATATATGTTTTGTTGTTATTGCTTTTACCTTTTTTTTTTACTGTAAATAAAAATGTTTTAGTAATTAGGTTAGGGTCATCGATTCAAATATCTCAATTTATATTGTTATAGGAATGGTCACAATCGTAATCGTGATCGTGACAGCAACTAGATGGCAAAAGATATTTGAAAAGATTAGTTTAAAAGAGGCATCGCAGCTAATTTTATTATAATTTAGAAAATTGAAAACATTTTATTTTAAAAAGAATCAGTCTGAAAATCAAGTTAAATTCAATGGTGTACAGAGAAGGATAAAAACCTAATTTCACAGCACCCTTATACATCTAAACTGATTATGTAAATTTATAATAACTTTAAAAGTATTTATCTTACTCCTTTTCAAATAAACAAATAATCATCAGTTAAAGAAATAGCCGTAAAAGAATGAGTTAAAGAGGAAATAAAATAAAAAAATGAAAAAAATAAAATAAAATAAAATAAAAATTTAATTCTGATTCAAACAGTTTAATTCTTGCTCCTACAGTAAGTCTTCAAAGTGACGTAGTTTCTAAAAATATCTGCGTGTGAGTTGATTTTATTTAAAAAGGATATAAAAATACTATTATTGATTAAGTTAAAGCATTTAATTTAATCTTTAGTTATATTTTTATCAACATAAATTCTAACCTTTCAAAAAAAATTTATTAATAAAGCATGAAAACTCCCTTTGAAAATTAATGACCGTGAGATTTAGGACGGCAAATACACTTCTTTTGTTTCAATTATTACTTCCGCTGCCATACCTACCTAAATGAAGATCCCACTTCATTTCATTCCTGGCAATTCCTCACAACCAAACATAGGGAAAATATCGATTATATTATTTACTCTTTTCGTGGATAAATTTATACCACATTTTATTTTTTAAAACTAAAAACTGTTTTCAAAAGAGAAATAAAAATATTCTAAGATTCTTATTTTTAAGTTTTTTTTCCTCAGTTGTTATTATTAATTTTAGATTTGTATGTCTCTATCTTTTCTTGAGTTTTTGTAGTCCCTGTATATTTTTAGTTTTGTATTGTTTTAAGACTGAAGGTAAAAAGCTTAAATTTATCCTCCTAAGTCAAATGAAGTCCTTGCTTACAAACATACCCATCTCATCTTCTGCATCCGAAAATGGAGCTTGAGGCAGGTAGGGAACTGGGAAGGACAAGAAAAGTGAATATGCATCGTAAAAAGATCGAAGATGTGCAACGCGATCTGGAACTCTGGTGGGTGAGATATAATGAAGTTCCGAAGCCTAAAATACGAAAGGTTCCAGATTATATGGGAGGACGAGAAGAGTTCAAGAGATTCTACTTGCCTAATCTCGTTTCAATTGGTCCAATTCATTATTCTAAGCCGTATGCGGAGCAAGGAGATCGCTTCAAGATACTATGGACCGCAATGTATCTTAAAGACACCCAGCAAACCTACGATCGTTTATTTGAAAGAATTTATAATTCCTATAAAGAAATGTTGGCCTTGTACTCAGAAAAATTCTGGCCGGACGTAGAGTTTTGTCGAACCCGGACCGAGGAAATTATGTTGATGGAGGATGCGTGTTCAGTACTTACAAGTGTTGGACAAATCTGTGGATTCTGATGATCCAGAAGAACTCATGGTTAATTAGCACTGACAAGCTGGTGCGGGTCCATCAGGATCTGCTTCTCTTGGAAAACCAAATTCCCTACCAATTGCTCAAGCTTATATGCTGGGATCCAACGAGGCTCGAGAGATGCATGCGCAATTTCCTCATAATTCATGGCACTGAGAAGGCAACCAGAAGGGATGATTATTGTAGCGAGCACAAAATAATATTAGTCCAAGAATATGAACAGGAACCATTTCATCTTTTAGACTATTTGAGGAGGGGACTCCTTGTATGTGTTGGGAAAGAAGAAAATTACATTTACCCCTTGAAAATTACCCTTCTAAAAGAAAAATAAAATAAAAATAATCACACAAAAGTATGAGTGAAAACTTTAAAAATTGGAGAAAAATTACGCTCGTTGTCTAAAATATTATGTGAAAATTTTAATAGACTATTTTTACTTGTCCCAGTTACATCCACACTTTTCAAAGTAAGTAACTAAACTAAACCTCACAACACTCTAATACAAGAGTATAAGAAAAGTCAAATATAAGCTTAAAGTATTTTTAACTGGGATGTCTTGATATCATGGACTCAGGTCCATTATATAGCCTTTTTCATTCACTTTCTTGTTCATCTTAGGGGATGTGGAACTTCTTCCAACATACCTTGAATAATGTAAGATTTTCAAGATGTACTATTTTCATCAATCTCTACCATGATTAAAATAGACACATCTTCCATTTTCATTGCTTACACCAGTAATCATTGTCTATACCGACAATTATACTCCACCATAAAGAGTATACTCACTTGAAATTAAACTAATCCAAGATTTTTC